TTTATTATACCCCAATCTTGGTATATCAGTTTGTGTTATAATAAAGCTATCAGTTTGTGTTGGGTTAATAAAGAATCTTGGTACAGTTTGTGTTGGGTGGGGTTGGGTGTAATCAAGAATCTTGGTACTATCAGTTTGTGTTGGGTTTAATAAAGAATCTCGGTATTATCAGTTTGTGTTGGGTTTAATAAAGAATCTCGGTAGTATCAGTTTGTGTTGGGTTTAATAAAGAATCTTGGTATTATTCTTGGTACTATCAGTTTGAAGGGTATAATAAACTATCAGTTTGTGTTTAATAAAGAATCTTGGTAAATACATTATTCATAAACTAGTAACTGTAGATATAGCTGGTTTTTATCACTGATTTGTGAGTGATGTAGTAATATTCAGGTTTTATGTTTTCACTGTTTCATAGTTGCACTTAAGGATCTTGCACATATTTCTCTATATAGATTTTCATATAGGTATGTAGACTCTCCGAGCTTTAAATGTGGGCTCCGTCCATTATATGTTGACTGTAACAGAGAATTAAGAGCTGAGTTTCCAAGTTAATTTTAAATTAGTTTGTGTTAGATGTAATAAAGAATACCAGTAGTACAAGTTTGTTTCTGGTGTGATCTCAGTACTATCAGTTTGTGTTGGGTATAATAAAGAATCTTGGTATTATCATTTTGTGTTGGGTGTAATAAAGAATCTTGGTATTATCAGTTTGGGTTGGGTGTAATCAAGAATCTTGGTATTATCAGTTTGGGTTGGGTCTTATTTCATCTCACAAATTAAAATGTCAAACAGTCACGAACGATTTCTGAATGGCTCAACTAAAGGTACATGTTGTATATGACTAGACAGGAGGCCTCTTAAACCTAATTTCAACTGTAAATGACAGGTTACTCTCCTGCAGATTCATGTTCAAAAATCGTTTTAATAGGTAAAAGGATCTGTAGTATATATTTCTTAATAATGTTAACTCTTCCAAATTCGAGTGTGCAGATCATTAGTTTTACAGCCAAAACTTTTGGTCAAAACGGAATTGAAAGAAAACTACTTGACCGGTAATTTAAAATATTTAACTAAACACCATTAAAATAAGGGTATTAAACACTTTTCAGTTGCCATGCCTTTGTTTTAAAATGTTTAAGTCCAAGATTTGTGTCTCAATATCTGCCTGAAAGTAACTAATTACAAATTCAATAGCTAAAACACTAAGGAATAAGATGATAAATAACTAACATCAGTATTTAAACATCGGTGTTGTTCCAGTTAAAGATTAACAGAACATATTTATTGTAACATTATAAAAAAATGAATGCATAAGGGCACAAGGATACAATAAAATACAGTGTGTCAGCACAGATGTGATATGGTTAACACAGCTGACGATACTATTCTAAGGACTCAAATTCTCTTTCAGAAATTACAATGTTAACATACACTTCAATCACATTTAACAGATAATTGTATGAGTGAGGTTAACATCATAAGTTAAATGTACTTTTGTTATGTTGAGAGTAAAAAGACTAGTTTGGTTGGCCACTTGTTTGTGCATCAGCGTGAATTCATCACAGCTTGGCTATTATGTTACACATACAACAAACAGATAGTTGGTGCATGTCCACCAAAATATTCCATATGTACCATACATAGTTTTCATATAGTAAAAAATGATAAAATACACCATCAGTTTTGAGTAATACATAAGTATTTCATGAAATATACACTCCTGATGGGATATCACCTTCAAGTCAAGCATTTCATTACACAGAGGCAACATTTATCTTCAGTGTAAAATACCATTTCCTTTGATTAATGAGTGTTACTGATGAGGTTTAAATTCACATAAAGCTAGCTCAACATATCACAATGCTGACTGTTCCGCAGAAAAAAAGTATTGTTATTATTATATCTTTCAAGTTGTGAAAAGAACGAAACTTAAAAAAAATTTTGTAGTCGCACAGCTCAAAAATGTAGCAAACAGTAAATTAAAAAAAAGACTCATGGAAGTACAACATTAATTATTGTGGTCCAGGAGGGTAAACTGAAATTGTCCTATTTTGTATCTACTAATATAATGTCACATTTCCACGGATTCTTTGTTTAAAGCCTTCCCCAAAAACCACAGATGACTTTACATTAATGACGTATTGATATTTAAAAAATTAATCGTATCTGATGAGAACATGACTGGAAAATACGGACTATTGACAACCTTGAACATTTAACAAGAATGGAAAATATGAAAACCTAAACACACATGTCTAAACTAAACAACTAAAAACATTTCAATAAAATCCTTGAAACTATGAGCAAATGACACTCAAATTATGCTCATCAAACAGTTTCATTATCCTTGTTTGGTTCCACTGCAATCTGTGAAAATATCCTGAACTTCTTTGGTGGTGAAACTCCAGAGGTCTCAGCTTCTGGAAATCGTTTCTGAGGTTCAACACATGTCAGTAAACATGGGCTCTTGGTTTTGGAATGACTTCCTTGAGGTTCTACACTGTTAGAAGATATTGTATCTCTGGTTGAACGAGGATCCTCCGGAAAAGGAGGAGACTGTGATCTGTTCAGAGGAATTATTATTGGCTCATGGTTTCCTTTGATTAATGGACGTCCATGAAACAACTTAACTGATTTTTTCTTTAACTTGCGGTCATCATCGGAGCTAGTACTTGATGGAGGACTGTTCCTTGTCTTGACACAATGGTCCTTTTCGTGTTTAATAGCCGTGCTTGCTGAGGTTTCAGTTTCATTGTTTGTTACATCATGCTCGTGTTTTGAGGTCAAACTGGAAACTCTGCTTTTATCAAATTCACCATCCAGTTCTAGTTTTTGTATATTATTTGACAACAAAACATTTTCTATACTCATTATTTGGACATCTTCACTTTTTGTTCTCCTCCTCTTTGGAGGCCCCAGACTAGGTGACATTTGTTCATCAAGAGGTATTGCTGTTAGTAGTGAATTAACTAGAGACTTAAGAAACCGCACTGATTTTACCTGTACACCGACCTCTTGTGTTTGATCTGAAGGATGACTTCTGTCTTTCATAAATGCTTTGTGATAAGTTTGAGATGTGGAATGAGCTTCAACTGCCAACTTCTCATACCCACTGGGACTAGAACTTGTAAGGTAAGTTTTAGTTACAGGAAAATCATTAGTCTGAGATTTCTTAGAAATACATGATGAAAATGTCTGAGTTGAAACACTGTGTACATTACAACTCTCTTTAGAGTGGGTTGAACTTTCATCTGGCAAGGTTTCACATACAGTCTGTGAGGAAACATCAAGAGTTGCTTTTTCAGGAAATAACTCGGAATCATCTTCACTGAGCAAAATTTTACATGCTTGCCGAAGAATTTCCTGGCTTCTGGTTTGCTTGCAAACCATTTCTCGACAGTGGAGTACCTTAATTATGAGAACAGCCAGAGTTTGTGAAGTCAAACCAGGTGGTAAATGTAAACACTGATGAAGGTGACCCGAAGTCGTCGTCGTCTCCATTTTAAAGGCATTCAAAATACTATATAATACAGAAAAAATATGTATAAACAAATTATCCGTAGTAACCTCTAAAATACTTGAATTATTTTGTTCTAATTGTTTTTACACTATAATTTGATATACCACAAATTGCATTTGGCCCGTCTGGTTCAATTTAATATAGATTGGTGGTAATTGTAGGAGGAGAAGGGAAACAGATGTTCGGTGTTTGGTTTGAATTACAAACATCTATAAGAAAAAGAAAAAATGTTAGAGGGTTATTCAGAAGTCAACCTCACCACAGGTCAAATGAATGATTTTAAAGTATATGCTCAGGGCAACAATTGAGTAGATTGAACCTGTGGGATAGCTTCCAGGGTGTAAGTTATATACGAGAAATGGGCACCATGTGTGTTGGTTAGGTAGCAAGATTTTTGATAAAGTTGTTTAAAAAATTCATTATAGACAATTAAAACTAAACTTGCAAGGTATGGGAAATCAAGAATAAACAAATTGATAGTTTAATAACAGTTTTAAAGAAAGATGTATCAGATTTAAAAACAGGCTTAAATGTTATTACTCTAATGTTAGGAGTATTAGGAATAAAACAGATGAATTTGGGGCTCAAATTAAAATGAAAAACTAAGAAATAATGGGAATTACTGAAACATGATTATATTTAGAGCACACTGATAAATAGGAATTACTTCAAATTGTAGATTATATGTTGTTTAATAGTGATACTCTTTAAAAGAGGTAGGGTTGTTAGACTATAAGTTGTTCAATAGTGATACTCTTTAAAAGAGGTAGGGTTGGTAAACTATAAGTTGTTTAATAGTGATACTCTTTAAAAGAGGTAGGGTTGTTAGACAATAAATTGTTCAATAGTGATACTCTTTAAAAGAGGTAGGGTTGTTAGACTATAAGTTGTTCAATAGTGATACTCTTTAAAAGAGGTAGGGTTTTTGGACTATAAGTTGTTTAATAGTGATACTCTTTAAAAGAGGTGGGGTTATTAACCTATATGTTGTTCAATAGTGATACTCTTTAAAAGAGGTAGGGTTATTAAACTATATGTTGTTCAATAGTGATACTCTTTAAAAGAGGTAGGGTTGTTTTCTCATATAAAGAATGAACTTCAGCCTGTTGATATTAAAAACATAAAATAGTGAACAATAAGTTGAATCTGTGTGGGTTACAATTAGAGGTTTCAAGGACAAAAACTTTAAACTGACAACTCTTAAAGGTCACTTGGTCACATACAATTGTATAACGATATCAGTGCTGTTTGTAGCTGGACGATTAGTGAAATTTACTAATCATTTAATTGTTCGGTTCATTATTGATCACATTCATCAAATCGATTATGGATAGTTTAAATAATCAGAAACCCTAATATTGATTAAATTGGTTAATTTTGTGAGTCATGACTCTAAATGATTGAGCCAAACAACACTGAATTAACTGAAAATAATAATGAGAAATCATAATGGCAATATTTCAATTTCTTGAATAGTTGGAGTAACTGGAAACACTAATTTCAATTAACGCATTACTTTTGCAACACGAATGGATTTAATCATAATTTTGATTAATGAATTATTTCATATGACACTAATCCATGTAACTGATGCTCACAGGTTATCTGTTATATCAAGTTAATTGCTTGGCTCTAGGGTTGTTACCAATAGCTAGAGCTGAAATAAAAACCCAATTAAGAATACTTTTTTAATGAATATTCTAACAGAACTTTGATATATTAATCTTTGTTTTTTTTAATATGAATTATTTTTGAAGACTTTCCTCACATTGTCAACAGTCTGGATGATTCTTGAATGCAAAGCACAAGGAAATTTTACCTATTATAACTTCTGAATACATGTCTGTTTGTCCATAATTACATCATCAAATGACCTTTTAATTAATAATGCGAACTAAAGTTCAATATTCACTACATTATATAATGTTGTATATATTAGTCTTTTCACAGTACCCACATTCTTGAAAAGCACCAAGCAAAGACCTCACAGATGTTGCCAAATTGGTTACAGAAAATTACTGTGCATTTATTCCATTTATAATCTCTTTCTCTTAATACTGTTGAGTATTTCATTCATAACACATGACATTAAGGAACAACAAGGGATCTTTTGGTTCATCTTGGACATCCCATCAACTAAATTAAACTAAAACTTATAAAACTGAATGTCAGTCCTTATCATTCAAATATTTATCAGTCTTGTTCTTAAACTCCCTTAACTTACCTACCACATTTGAAGGCAATCTGTTTCAAATACCAACCACCCTGTTAGAAATAAAAGGCTGTTTTAGCAAAAGATGACTCCTATTTAATTACCTCAACAATCTTAACCACCTTAAACAAGCTTAGATTTGATGTGAAATTTAATTTTTAACAAGGTGCTTGACTTAAGGAATGAGTTACCATCAGCTGAAGTGGAAGCTAGCACTTTATGAGAGTTTCAAAAGTGAGTAAGATTTCCTAAAAATTAAAAGGTAAGTTTAAATTATAACTTTCTACAAGAGTACGTGTGCAAGAAACAAATGATCCCTTGTTGTCCTAGGTTATGTTAGACTTACGTGACTTCTTAGTATACTGTCCAGTATTTGTACCAAACAGTGAAATAAACAATCATTAATCATAGGTGTAATATTAAAATTTCACACAATAAATGCAAGTAAGTTTCATAAATGGGATTTCTTCAAATCCAAATAAAGCACTGATCGTAAGATTTGTAAAGCTTTTTTAAAGTTTAGTGGATGGGCAACCTCTATGAACTCCTTTTTTCCATTAAAATGCTATAGTAAATAAGATTAACAAACATAATTTTTCTAAATCTAAACTAATTAAAACTTAAAAAAATAAAATATACAAAGTCCCTTTACATATACGATTATAATTTATCCTCTGTAGTTAGTTACAACATACACTAATTTACACACAATAAACTATAAAGGGGAATTTATTTTGACTGTTTTTTCATCCTTCTTAGTTTAATTATAGTAACAGTAATACAAACATTAAGAAACTTATGTTATTCTGTGTTTCTAAATCAATATTTATATATATGTACTATTTATGATTTTTTTTGGAAAAATTTTACGCTGCCATACTTACGAACATCGTCAGTGTCAGATCATGATAATTAGTATTACTCGCATTAAGCTATTAGTTACTTATCACATTTGCCAAGGAATACGAAAAACAACAACAATAGAATCTGGCTAATATGCTTAAAATCAATATAATTCATACTGTAACTTTCAAATATTAACATACTTTTAATTACCTAAAGCCTAAAAGTCAAACCACTTCTGTTCGAAAAATGTTTGATCCATAACTGCTCCCTCTTTTGACAAAGAAAATATCTATTAATTAATTCTGAAATATCTATGAAATTTGCTTACTTATTTCGCAATGAAAACGATTTCTGACACTTTTAGAAATTTATATTAAATTATTAGTATTCAACATACTTTATGAAGTGTTATATAAATACGTATACTTCAGTATATTTTTTTACTAAAAAAAATAAAGTTTGGAGGTTTTTACTCGTTTTTGAAGTCATAGGAAACTTAAAGATGGCGGCAAACACGAAAAGAATAGTTTATGTGGGTAAGCATTTTAGTAAAGTAATTTTTTTCTAAATATTATTGAGTCCTGTTTAAATTAACAAAATATTCTTGGGTTTAAAGATTATTATAAAGAACAATTAAACTGTGGTGTCTTCATATCTGGGGAAAAGTTAATTCCTGTCGTTAGTTATAAGTTTGCACTGCTGTCGACAGTGCTTCTGTGTATCATAGCGATAATGATATGGCATTTATGTAGGGAATGTTAGGCATGAAATAGTAAAATCTTAGTTCAGTTTAACTTGCATCTTAGTGACAATTTTTTGTTTTGTTTTTTGTAATTAACAATTGTGAAAATTGTCATAATTTGTATAATAATACTATTAATGTTTTAGATTGAGTAGGCATACCTGCCTAAATATATGATACTTGATATTTATGTTGGCAATCATTGCTAATACACGTATAGTGTTGGAGAAACTCAGTTGAATACAACCATAGCTCACATTTCAGAAATAAATAGTCTTCAGTTATTCATCCAAATGTACACACTTGAAAATTAGGCATACGTTTGAATAGATGGTGCAGGAAATTTTTAAAGCTTTAAATAGGAATTCTAGTCTCTCCTATGGTACATGAAACACCACTGGTTTGCCAGCTTTTTTCTATTCCATTGACATTAGTGCACAGATTATAGCTTGTTGATAGATCTGCCAAAACACATGAACGAAATTTAATGGCAAGCAGTTTTATTAAGATTTGTGTTTTTTTCTTTTGTGAATTACTAAAACATTTTGTTATTACAAAAGGTATTTTGAATTAATTTAGATAGTACTTTCAGTATTTACTTATTTTAGTTTTTTCCAGTTTGTATGTACAAATTAAAAAAAAAATTTTATTCCAATTTGAAAAACCACTAAAATATTAAATGTACATCTTACAGAATAAATTAATTTTCTGTCCTTCAAAAACAAAATTTATACAGACAAAAATAGGTACTATTAACTCCTAAGACAAGTTTTGTTATGCAGTGAGTAGTGTATATATATATTCCTATATGCTATTTAGTTTGATGGGATTAATAAATGGTAAATTAGGATCATTAAAATATCTTAGAGGTGTTAAACTCGTACAGAGCTTATGTCGCATGCTTTTTGTAGTGTTCCTGTTGAAATCTGCAAGTTTTCGGAAATTAAAATAAAAGAAGAAATACTTGTTAATGGTACTAAATCAACAGAAATAATATATATATTTTACAGGTGGATTAGCAGAAGAAGTTGATGAGAAAGTTCTTCATGCTGCTTTTATACCATTCGGTGATATTGTTGACATTCAAATTCCTCTAGATTATGAGACACGTATCTTTTTTGGTGTTTTTGAATGATTCTAGAATTGTGAAGGTGTAACAAGATTTTCCAGTAGAACAATGTTAATTTCAAAGCTTGGAAAGGAAGTAAATATCACATGGACTACAAGAGACCATCTGGTTTTGCAAGACTGTATCCCCCCCCCCTCCAGAAAATGAACAGAAATAGTTAAACCCAACCTTTAATTTTGGCACATAAGACTAGCTAAAAAAAAAAGTCATATCAGTGGGTGTGGTTGGGGAAAGACAAACTAATTGAACTGTAGGTTGCCTTGGGTATCCGTGCTTTAATATTGGCTTTTTATTATTCACTCAAGTGAGAATGATAAGTTTGTTTATGACATTATTAAACTTTTGGATTTTCTAACGTACTGAGAATGTTGAGGTACAACAGAGTAAATTGAATCAATTGATAAGTTGAACAAATGGTTAGAAAATAGTTTTTCATTATAGTGAATGCCAGGTAATGCATCTCAGTTATCAAAATTCATGGCACATGAATTATATATATGTCCAAGTAGGCTCCATTTTATGTATTTAATTTGTTTATCATTACCAATGAAGAATATGTAGCCAGATAACATATCAGAGTCATAAAAATACAATTTATAAATCATCTGCAGTTTTTATAACATAACATTTTGGGACAACATGGGATCTATTGGTCCATCTCGGCTCTTCCATCCTCTAAACTAAATTAAAATAATTTTTTTAAAAAATCTTAAAGCCAGCCATTATCATTCATATACTTATCAAGCTTTCTCTTAAACTCACTTAAAATTACTGCCTACACAACATCCAAAGGCTAACCACCCTGTTAGAAAAAATAAAACTGTTTTAGCTAAAGATGACTCCTACCTTGCCAAAATTTATGTGTCCCCTAGTCCTACTATTCTTACTGTTAAGTATGAAAAAAGATGATGCAATTTTAACACCTCAATCAGATCCCCTCAAAATCTTCTTTTTTAAGAGAAAACAATTTGAGAGATTTCAGCCTCTCCTCATATGACAACCCCTCCATCCCAGGCACCATTCTAGTAATCCTTTTCTGAACCCTTTCCAACAATTAAATGTCTTTCCTAAGGTAAGGAGCCCAAGGCTGAACACAATATTCTAAATGTGGTCCAATCAGTGACCTGTACAATGAAATTATAACCTCTTTAAACTTGTATTCAATATTTCTGTTGATACAACCTAAAATCCTATTTGCCCTACCACTAGCAACAGCACACTGCTTGGATGGCTTTAGAGACTGATCACCTATTATACCAAGATCCCTTTCCTTCTTAAAACTGTTAAGGTTATTCCTATCCAAATTATACTTATAATTCAAATTATGATAACCCTTGTGCA